AAAAAAAAAAATTTCTTCTGCTCAAATAAAACTCTATAAGCGCATGTAACTGAAAGTTATTGTCTCTGTGCATATTTTGCGGTAGAGGTGGAGGATGAAAAAAATTCTTCCATACAAAGTATGTGTCTATGAAATCAATTTCTTTATTTCTTTTTTTGTGTGAATAGGAAGTAAAAAAGAACAAAAAAAGGGTTGAGAGAATATTAAAGAAAAAAAAAAATAAGAGGGTTCTCACGCGAATGAAAGAAAAACTAATAAAGTAGGAATATGCTTTTTTTTTTTCCTTGTTTTGTTTTTGTAACCCTTTCTGCACACAGTGTTTTTCCTTTTTTTTTCCTTTTTCCTTTTTTCCTTTTTTTTCCATTTTTCCTCGATTCCTTATTGCTTTTTGTATTAGTGCCATTTTCTCTCCCTTTTATGGAGTTGCTTGTTTGCTGCTTATGGATAGTTTGTAATTTTTTTTTTTTTTTTTCTTTCAACTACTATAAATATGGCATTCTTTCGCTTTTTTGTGCTTGGTGAACACAAGATTATTTTTTTTTTTTCCTGGCGTTGAACAAAAATTCACTACCTGTATGTAGATGTAGTGAGCACTCCATGGGTTTTCCGTTACTTATTTTAAGATATTTTTATATTTTCATAAGCTACTTGCGTCGGTTCTCCTTATTTATATATTTTTCTTTTCTTTTTCTTTGCTGTTGTGATAGAGTGGCGGAGATTACGAGGGATTTAGATGGAATCTCTCTTTTTCTCTTTGTCTCTCTGTTCCTTAAATGGTTTGTTTTTTTTCTTCTTCTTCTTTTTCTTTTTCTTCTTATGTTTGGAGTTATTAATTGGGGAGTGTGAGAATAAGCGTCGGGCGACGTCTGTGTAAGAGTGGAATCCACAAAAAGTTAAAAAAAAAGAGAGAAGAAAAGAAAAAAAAGTAAACAAGAGAAAAAAAAAAAAGAAAAGAAAAACAATACAACATAAGAAGGATAGTACTTTAAAAAAAAAAAAACACACACACACACACACACAAAAACAAAAAGAGAGAAAACAGGGCAAGAAAAAAAAAAAAAAAGAGTATTTAGATGGAGAGTTTCTCCCCTTTTCGTGTGGTGGGAAGTGTCTGTGGTGATGTTCCCATCAGCAGCACAACCCTCTATGGAGCTCCAGTGCTCATGATCGCCACCGGCCACACCTTTCAGTTATTCCGCGGGAAGGAGTTATCCATGTTGCGGGGTGGACCTCACTTTCTCAAACGTGTTCGTGCGGTAGCGCAAGCAGGAAAATACCGTTTTGTTGCGGAGGGTCCTCGTATACATGGATTTACACATCATAAACCTCTTTGGACTTGTTTACATCATGATATTACACAGAGTAAAGTGGAACACCTTTTAGCACAGGATGATTTACTCTTTTGTGTGGGACAAGATAAAAGAGTGGTGGTTCGTGCGGTAAAGACAGGAGATGTTCTGGGTGAGTTTTTAATTGAACGTAGTGAAGAGGTCTCTGCCATGGTATTACCGGCTGGATATACAAATAAATTATTGGTGGGTACAAAATCTGGAGCATTACATTTATATAATTTCAGAACTGGGATTTGTTTATGGTATGCTCAACGAGAATCATTGGCACAAATCACATCCCTTACGGCCAGTAATTATAAAGATATTATTGCTTATGGAACAAGTAGTGGACGTGTGATGGTACTAAATATGGGAACAAATGAAGAAATTATGAGCTTTGATCACAGAGAAAGAGGAGCCGTTACCGCTTTGGCATTTCGTACAGATAAAAGTATTTTGGTATCTGGAACCAGTGGAGGTGAAGTGGTATTATGGGATCTTGAAAATCGTTGTCTTGATGGTGTGCTTACGCGCAGTAAACAAGTACAATCGGAAGCTGATGTTCTGGAAACTCCTCATACCAACACTGTTCATTCTATTGTGGTTTTACCAACTGATAGTGCTGCTATCGTTACGGCGGGATCTGATAATGCCTTATTACAGTTTAGATTTGATACTGTAGATGGATTGGGCACTTTGGTAAGAGAGCGGCGTGGACATATGGGAAGTTGTACCACCGCTGCTTTTTACAATACAGATTTATTATTAACAGCAGGTACAGATCGTTCTCTTCGAGTTACACATGTTTTTTCAGATCGGGCTTCATGGGAACTTTCACAAGGACGACTTGGACGACGTGGACGAGAGAAACAAATGGGACGAGAGGCATTAAAGATGACACCTGCTATTGCGATTGCCAGTTCTACCGCAAGGAATTATCAATGGTCTAGTGTAGTTTCTCTGCATGAGGCTTCTGCACAGATGTGTGGATGGCGTATGGATACACGTGCATTGGAGTGTAAATTAAGTGGTATCTCCTCCTCCACACACACTGCACGCTCTGTTGCTATGAGTGATTGCGGTAATTTCGCTATTGTGGGATACTCCAGTGGAAATGTGGCTATTATAAGCATTCAAAATAAAAGTGTTAAACAACTTTTTGATGAGGCCCTTCAACCAGCAGATCGGGCTCATGCAAGTTCTGTAGAATGTGTAGAAGTTGCATGTGGTAATACTGTTGTTGTAACAGCTGGTTTGGATGCACGTATTAAAATGTGGGATCTTCTTAATTGTAAATTGCGATATGTTTTGGAAACGGGTTGTCCTGTAAGTAAATCATGTGTTCATCAACCATCATCCCTTTTTATTGCCGCTCAACATTTTACAATTCGTGTCTATCATTGTAATCCAGATGTGGGTCTTAGTACAGAGGAACTCACCACACCTGTTCGAGTCTTTGATGGACATAATGGTCCTATCACGGCATTGGCTTTAGCACCGGATTCCAATCGTTATATTGTTTCTGCTTCTGGAGATGCAGCTTTACTTGTCTGGGATCTCGCAGCTGCTGCCTGTGTTGGACAGTACCGCTTTACAACTCCTGCCATTTCACTTAGCTTTCATCCGGATGCCTTGTTTTTAATTTCCACACACGCAGGAGATCGGGGGGCATTCTTGTGGTCTAATAATCTCCGGTATGGATTTGTGCCGGAAGTTGTAGAAAATCCAAAGAATCGCGTGGTGGATGATCTTCCATTACTGCACTTTCCCACAGCCCATGGAGAAACAGAGGATGAGACCACAGAAACGAATGAAAATGGAAAACTGGAGTGTAATAACGGTAATGGTGAACTTCATCATTCACAACAGAAGAAAGATAATGATGATGATGATGAGGAAGAGGATGAAATCAACAAAAACTCTGCCGCTGCTGCTGCAGGAACTGGTGCGGAAGTGGAAGCCGAGTTATTTGATGCGGCTACGGATATTGCACTTGTAAAGCGTCAACATGAGGAACACCAGCGAGATCAACTGGACCAAATTGTCTCTGGTGGATTACGGCTTGCGGGAGTACCACGCTCATTATGGTTTGATCTCACCTTGTTGGAACAAATTAAAGAGAAGAATCAACCATTACTCCCACCTAAAAAACGGGATGTACCTTTTTTCCTTCCTACAACTCAAGAATTACGTCCTACATTTCTTGTAGTCGCCTCTTCTGGAAAAGAGAATGGATCTACTGGAACTCAACCACGTGTGATGAATGCATCTTTTGCAGATCTCACTCCAGTTCAGCGTATGTTAATACAGAATGAACATGAGGCATTAATGGAGTATTTACGCTCACTCACAACACCACAGGCTATTGATTTGGAAATTAAACGAGCTGTGGACTACACAGAAGGTGGATCCTACACAGAAGAAGAAATACAACGTTTAAAGGAATGTTTACGTGGATTATTGGCTTTTCTCGCAGAGTGGCTTCGAAGATGTGAGAATGTGGATCTTGTGCAGGGTATTTTAGCGGATACCATTCGTTCTCATGGTCCACTCATTACACGATGTGGTGAGGAACTTGTGCCGTTACTGGAAGAGTTAGCACAACTACAGAATACGGTACGATACAGCATGGATCATTTACTGGGTTATCCAAGTTGCCTTGTTGGGACCTTTTCTGGATCACTCTTCTAATTCCTCTTTGTTTGTTTGTTTGTTTGTTTGTTGTTTTTTTTCTTTTTCTTCTTCTCTGTGGATGAATGCTTGGATGGATGGATAGTCTGTGTGTGTGTGTGTGTGATTGAGTGAGAAATAAAGGAAAAATGAAGATTATGCAGGAATTCTCCTCAGTTTTATTCTGTATGGTTCTTGAGTGAGAGAGAGAGAGAGAGAGAAAACCAAAAAAAAAAAAAAAGATATTGAAAAAATGGTGAAAAGGGCCATTTTTTTTTTTTAAGTTCTGGACGTGTAAAAGGTTATTTACGTATAAAAAGTCTGAGAATCCATGAAAGAAAAAAAAAGGAAGAAAAGAAAGAAAATATAGGAAAAAAAAACATCCTTAACTCACTCTATACATGTGTGATATTTTCTTTTTCTGAAGTGCACATTAGTTGCATTATAAATGAGATAGTCACATTTCTTCTTTTTTTTTTCCTATATATATATAAAATTCTTCTTTTTTTCTTTTTTTCTTGTTGTTGTTTCATACATACTCTTTAAATACTACTATTATTCCCTACTTTTTTTTAAATGTAACCTTAACAAATCTGTATTTTTCATTATATATATTTGTATTTATATCTTTTTTTCGTTTTCTCTTCTTTTTTTTTTTTATTTATTTCAATTATTTCCTATTTTTCTTTCTCTCTCTCTCTCTCTCTCTCTCTAGTTCACGAGGGGTAGTGGGTGAGGGGAGCGATGGAGACAGTGACGGACCATAATACTCCCTGTTCATTTCGTCCAACTATTAATAGACGAAGTCGCCGCTTAACAAGTGGACTTCTCTCGGTACAAGAGCGACAGCAATTTGATCTCGCCCGACGTGAAATACGGCATAAAGAACTTGTGGCTAAAGTAGAGGCGGAACGTCAATTAACAGAAACATTTAAACCCACAACAAATAAATACGGGAAATGTCAAAGCCGTCTTTCTTATTCTCATGAGAGTCAAGGACCACAGTCACAGTCTGCACTTATTCGGAAAACAAGTTTAGATAATCCAGAGGAGACTTTTCATCCTGTTATTAATATAAAGAGTGAACGTTTAGCGGCAAATGGATCGTTGCAAAACAATCAAAAACACTCACAAGAAGTTCGTCAACGTGTACAGGGTCTATGGCGTTCTTATGCGGATGTTGGTAGTGGAGAAATCACTCTTAATGGAGTTTATAGTGTATTGAAGGAGTTGGGTTTGACTGCCCCATCGGCTATGGTGGATAAATTTTTATTGGCACTTGGTATAAATGAAGCTTTAGGTATTCGCTGTGTACCGTATGATCGTTTTATGAAGGTTTTTACAGTAGTGCTGCGGGCCGCATTAGTGACTCCTCCTTCTGGGGAAAGCAATCATAATAATAATAATAATAATAATAATAATAATAATAATAATAATAATAGAGGGAAACACTCGGAGTCTATTCACAGTGATGGTGAATATCTACAAAGACAGAGTTCCATAGTCTCACGTGATTCTGTGCCTACGATGCGTCGATCGCACTCTACCCGTTCATCCACACAGGAGAGAACACCTAAAAAGAATAACCGCACAATACCCAAAAAGTCTACATTTGGATCACAACAACAATCTGTGGGTTTTCAAGACGCTGCTGATATGGTTTTCTCTCACGACAAACAACAAGTTAGTCATCATCATAATGATAATGATGATAATAATAACAGTAATAATAGTGGGAATAATAGTAATGATAACGACAGTAATTCTCCATTACCGGCAGCACCACAGGAAACGATGGGATTAAAGGAGAATAGGAATCATAATAGGAAAATGTCTGAACGATCACAAGGACTGAGTTCCAGTATGCATCAGCAAGAATCTGAGAAACCATCAAGGAAAACAATATATAATCCACTTCATGGATGTACGTTTGCCCCAGTTATAAATAAAAATTATCGACCACGTTCCTCATCTAAACAATCTAATAATAAAGGTGAAGGAGAACCAACTCCACGCAAAACTTCCACTGTGGTGTATAAAACTAGAGAAGAAAAGGAAATGGAAGAGTGTACATTTGCTCCTAATACGGCTCGTTATCACAAGAATCGTGATTCTTTAGCCTGGTGGACACGAGAACCATTTACAATGGAAACCAATACTGAAGTTTCCGCGGATTGTGTTTCTTCCAAAAACCAAATAGATATTCCAGAGACTATATCCTATCATCATCAACATTATGAAAAGACATTACAGAAACCAAAAATAATGAAAGAAAAAGAAGAAAAAGAAAAAGAAGGAAGATTAGTGCCTTCGAGTAGTGCCCGTCCAGCACCAATTGCTATGGGATTTGATAAGGCTGTTAAACGCATGATAGAAGCCCGAAAAAAGAATCGACCCAAATTTGAGGAAATGTTAAGATCTTCTGAAGATGAACCGCAGAAGCCGTTAAAGCCTACAATTGTGGAGCCATTTACATTGCATGCCCAAGGACGGCATTTAGAACGAGAACAACAGAAACCAGTGTTATATGTAGATGTAGATTTACCAAGTGGAAAAACAGGTCGTATTGGTGTTCATAGAGGTGATAAAGCAGAAGATTTGGCTAGAGGGTTTAGTCAGGCATATCAACTGGGGGATGAGTTACGTGAACGATTAGAGTGTGTATTGAAAGTAAAACTGAATGAACTCTTACGAGAGAATGTACAAACTCTATGGCTTTGAAAAGAACTTTCATAAATAGAAATAGAATGAGTTTATAGATGTGTTATTCTTTATAAGTCTTGACGTCTTGTACTCTTTTTTTTTTCTTTGTTTTTTTTTTAACTGTATATATATAAAATGAGAGCTCATCGTACTTTTTAATACTTTGAAAGAACTGATACATTCTCCCAGGGATTAGAAATATGACTGAAGATCTAATTTATTTATTTATTTATTTATTTATTTAATTTTATTTTTATTTTTTGAAATGAATGACCATGTGCTTTAATTCTATTGCTACTGCAGTGATATTCTATTATCTCTCCTATTTATTACTTGTAAATCTAAACAGGAACTGTTGTAGTGGTAGTGTTTTTTTCTTTTTTTTTCTCTCTTTGTTTAGTTCTCTTTTCTCTACTCTCAGGGAGAGATAAACAAAAGAGAGAGAAAACGAAAGAAATATGACTACACAGAAGCGTTCTCGCGAAAGTGGAGAATATCATGATATTCGAACCCTTTTTCAACGAGAAGGAGAACGGGCAGCATTACTTCGAAGTGGACCTTTTTTTCTTGAAAGGATTCTTTCTCCTAAACTTGTCAACCAACACCAAAAGTTGGGATCTATGTTGTTTGATCCAACTCGAATGAATGTCGGCAAATCATTTAAAGAGAAAAAACGTCATGGTGTACTGGCATTACCACAACAAACCGTAGCCTCCTATAGACTTTATTATTATAGTCAATTACAATATTGTAATCTTTACCCTGTAGTGATACCACAATCTGAGAATACCCCTTCAACATCCTCAGGCGTTATCACAGATATTGTATTTGATAAGGAAGAAGAATTTGCACTTGTCTCTCAACCGAAACGATTGAATATTTATACTACAGAAGAATGGCAGGATTATGATAGAATGGGTGTGGGATCATCTTTAGAGAGTGAACCGGTAGTATCGGTAGAGGCACGTGGATGGCGTAGTTGTGGATTTGGCTTCTCTGCTGTTCAATTCCTTGGCTCTTCTTTACATATAGTAACTAGTTATCATCATGCCCCTGTTGTGGATATATTTGACTTGGAAGATGTGGATGAGGAGACATGTACACCACAGCAACGTTTTGCCTTGACAGAAGCTAGAGGAACCGGAAACAGTAGTAGTAGTAGCCATAATAATAATAATAATAATAATAATAATAATAATAATAATAATAATATGAATATGAATATGAATGGTAATGGAAGTGTGATGGATTTGTCAACGGCGTATGCAAATGATGTTGTAGCGGTTACGGAACATGTAAGTTTAGCCGCACTCTCATCTGGACATTCGGTTTGGTTAGATCGTCGTAGTGGAAAAGTAGAAACCTGCACAGGCGTGTTTGCACGTGAATATAATATTGGTCAACAAAATGCTTCTCTTTCTAAAAGAGGTCCACTCACTGCTGTGGCATTTCTCTCTCGTCATAGTCCTATTAATATTGTTTGTGGAACTCAAACTGGTGTTGTACAATTATGGGATGTTCGCTATACAAGAGATTGTGTAGCTTTTCATCAAACTTCTGCGGCTATTTCTTGTATACAAGCCTCTTATACACCATCCTTACATGGATTAGTTTGGCTTAATAATCATAAAGGGGAAATACAGGGAATGTGTATTGGATATGATAATATACGTTTATTTGCAGAGAGAAAATGTGCAGATGGTGTACGATCCACATCTACATTTCATATACCACCACCTCGACTTTCATTAATGGAATCTGCTGGACTTTTAGCTTGTCCACATATCTCTTCTAATGCTCTCATGTTATTTGATCTTCATAAAATGATGAAAACAATATATGCTCCTATAAACAAGGAGAATTGTGTTGAGGAGGATACCATAGGTGGTGTATCTTGTAATAAAAAAAATAGAAAAAAACATGAAAGTCATGAAAGTAATGAATATAATGTCAATTCATCTGATAATAGTGACTTTCAGAGTGCATTAACCATTATGCAGCAGGAACATTATAGAAAAGATATTTCTACAGAAGAATCTTCTTCCTTTTCTTCTTCTTCTTTAGATACTGGTGTGGTCCATCAGATTCCATTTAATAATGTTCTCAGCTGTGAGGGATTCCCTAATATATCGGCATGTGGAGTGTGGAGTAAACAATCTCGTATTCTTGTGGGAAATACGGAAGGTCATGTACAGATAGCCTGAGATTGTATGGAGAATGAGAATATACACACAGAGTCTTTCATTGATTGTATATTTCTTTGTTTAGTAGCTGCAGCAATAATAATAATAATAATAATAATAATAATAATAATAATAATAATAATAATAATAATAATTAATAAT